GTCCTTTGGTTGTTTTGTCGGAGATTGCTTTGTGTATCACGTGTTTGTTTCTCTGGAATTTGTAGCCGAGTGCAGATGTGTATATCTGTGGTCACACACACACACACACACACACAGTCAACCGCACACCCAATGGAATGGACAAGTCTCGAATGAGTAGAAGGACGCTGTGCGTTTCCCAAAGTTCGATGCAGCACTTGGAATTACAAGTTGTTGTCGTTTTTGTTGTTGTAGTTGTTGTTGTTGTTGTTGTTGTTGTAGTTGTTGCAGTTGTTATTCGATTTTTGTGTTTGAATTGAAGCAGCAGCCACATCGCACGCACTTGTCAATTGCAGAGCTTGTCAAAGTTTCTTTCTCTTCTCTGCTCTTTTTTTTTTTTTTTGTATTTTTTGATAGCTATTGCTAAGTGCAGGGGAGCATGTCAAATGCCTGGCAAAATACAAGCGTTACACAAAACGAGACTTGACTCTCCCGGCCAAGGACTTTTTCATCCGACGAGCTTCAATTGGGCGGGGTAAAAAAAAAAAGAGGAAAATGAAAGGAGAGAGAGCTCAGAAACATGCGAAAACACGTTGCAATGGGAAAGTGAGATGAAATCATTTGCTCGATGGGCCAATAACTATAAATGTAGTACAAAATCGAGCATTCAATGAATGAACATAATATTTACACAGTAGGAAACTGTGCTTATAGCTGAAAATCTATTTTTTTATTAGTTGAAAACTGAAACCAACTTGCATTTACAGAAATTGAATAATATAAGCTGTTTGTAAAGTGAAAGCATATAAATATAATTAATTTATAAATTTAGTATAATAACTAAATAATCTGGTGCGCATTGAACCAGGGCAAGCTCCTTCCCGTTGAGATAGAAGCGACTTTTCCCCGCTGTCAACTAAATTTTGTATGCTTAATGAAGAGACTGGGAGAACGGGAAAGGGGAAATAGTTTATTAGAATTGGGGTAATGAGTAATGCAAATTAAATATCATTTTGGTGGTCATTATAAGACAAAAGAAATTCAATTCAATTCCTAGAATTGTTTAAATTAGAATTTAAACTAACATTAGTCTAAGACAGAGATAATGTTTTGCATATCCAATAAGCAGTGGTAAGCGGAAATAGTTAATGCAATAATAATTCAAGCTAATGCAAATGCTAATAGTTAGTCCAATAATGATATTAGAGTACAACAAATTCACAGCAGGGCTCATCATTTAAGAAACGCCAATGAAATCTTTCCTCAACTTTTAAACAAGTTCAGTTTATCGAAACATTCATTCCAAATTGGAGAAATTACGAAGCTGCCTAAGATTAGTTCAAATGTTTATTTACAAGATCATAAATGAACATCTCATGCAAGATATTTGTAGCTAATGTTTATTTCGGGCAACCGAAAAGTGATTCAACAGATGTTTAACAGCAAATAGCTCAGTTTATTTCCCATATCATGACGTATCATTCTACTAAAATGTGCCCATTATCAATGATCGCCTGCTGCTCATTGCTGCACATTGCTGCTCATTGCTGCTCATTGCTGCTCATTGCTGATCATTGCTGCCCATTTGCATTATGAAATTTCCTATCGTCAAGCGTTGAACGCGTCTCGCTTATCGCTTCCTATAAATTTGTCACGCTTTACACACACCAAACACACACGCACACGCACACACACACGCACGCACACACAGCAACACCCTGGCTGTCAGAAAAGTCACAAAAAAAAAAATACACGAAAATTATGACATCAGACAAAACAAACGAACAGAAAAAAATAAAGAAATTTAAAATAGGGAAAAAAAGTCATTATCAATTACGCCACTTAATTATTTTTATTGGAGCATAAAATGCTCCATTTCCATTTCTCGGCGACAACAGAAAAGCAGCTGAGACACACACACGCACACACACGCACACACAGACCGCAGACCACTTTTCTTGTGTGTGTGTGTGTGTGTGTGTGTGTGTGTGTGTGTGTGTGTGTTGCACATGTGTCAATGATGTGCTAATTGCCGCGTGCCCACTTTTGACAGACTTTCGGGTTTTCGGCCCTGTGAACTGTGTGGCATGTTGCCCCTCCCCCCCCCCCCCCTCCCCCTCACACCCGCCTGCCCATTTGTGGCATCGACATTTTGCATAATATTTGAGCATTTACAGTTTACAGCCGAATTGGCAAATTTTCTGGCCAATTTGTTGCTTGGCCTCGATCTGGGCTTGGCCCAGACGCCGGCAATTGCGAAAGCGAAGGCGTTTCACACTTTCCAATTCAATTTGCGTTTGCAGGAAAAACTGTGCTGCATTCATAAGCAATACCCTTCAAAAGGGTATATATATATTGATAAGCATAAGAAGTTGTCGAGTCCATAGAGTAAATATATATTCCCGATCTGCGTCAGTATAGCTAGTCTCTAGTCTCTAAGCCTCGAAGCCATCGTCAGGAAACTTTACATAAATATTTATTTTGATGGCTGGCAGTACATATATAGAAAACGGTCGGATCGAACCATAATGCCATATAGCTGCCACAGAAAAAATTGATCAAAAAATTGTATTTTTTATTATATTTTGGATATTGGATATCTTCACCCAACTCAACAATTACGAGCCTTACAAGTTCTCCTCACACACAAGCAAATGCATAAGCCATATGTTCCTCTTCCAGCTTCACAATTCTCCTCAAGCCATCTGCTTCACATCAAATCCATTTCTCCAGCTAACAGAATTTATAGCTAACTAAATGCTGGAGAATACTCTCTTGAATATGTTCCAAAGTCTTTTCGTTTATGTCTGCTAATTATGAAAACAATATGAAAACAAATTAAAATATTGCCTTAAAATAATATAAATATGCATTATATTATTTATGTCTGCTGATTAAAAAGAATTAGAAAAAACTATAATATTGCCTTAAAAATCCATTCTCAAATTTCCACAATTTATAATGAAACACTTTTTACCAACAAAACTCTTGACCATCAAATTAACAAACAGAAAAAATTGTTTGCTAATTGTTTTCGACATTTTTGCAGAAATCAAGTCAAAACGACAACAACAACACATCAATAATTAGCCCGGCTGTCAACTTTTTTGCCCTCTTAAACGTTGTTGTGGCAATTGAGAGAGAGAAAAAATCGCTTGTCTGGCAATAAATAAAAACAGATACTTGCAGCATTTGGCGGCACATGTGGCATGCATAATGCAATCGCACACGTTAATTGCCTTTTTGTCTTGATTAAAAAACAATTTCAATTGCTGCGATTTTTTTTTTTTTTTGCTCTGTCGCAATAATTTAATTAAAGCTCGCAAATTGACGCCCACGCGTTGAACTGTCGCACAAAAAAGGTCGCAGAGACACAAAAAAAAACTAGAAACGGGGCAAGGCACGGCCAAAGTTGTTGTTGTTGTTGCCACGAAATTAATGCAACAATTTGTTGCCAGTCTCTGTCTCTGTTTGCATTGTTTGCGTGAAAGTTGTTAATAAATTTTGATGGCAGTCGAGTTTAATGTTATACATTACATTAAATCGCAATTAAAGTTGTGTAAACGTGCCACGCATTTCACTTGTCAACATTTCGGGCAGCAACATGCGCACAGCAACATGTTGCCAAGCTCCGGCTGCTGCTGCAACATTTCCACGTTGACGTCGACAACGACTTTGATGTTGACGTTGACTTTAACGTTGACAACAACAACGCCCAAGTGCGGACAGCCGGGCATCAGTTGGGGTCTATTTGGATCCGTTTTGCCTCTTGATTGATGGCCCATTGGCACAAGAAGAAGAAGCAGCAGCCACAGCAGCAGCCGCAGCAGCAGCTATTGTGCATACTAAGTAAATGCGGCCATGACTCAACAAGTTGCAACATCCACACACCCACACACATACACACACACACACCCACACACACACACACGCAATTGCGAGTCTGTGTTTCAAGCCTCTTTCGATTTTGTGGAGATTTGCGCAAAAAACTTTTAGTGCCAATTGCAGGTAAATTGTTGTCGTTGTCGCTGTTCAAGATTGATCAGAAAATATTGTGGAACATTTAATAGTTGTTGCCCTGGCGATTAAATGCGATTGCAACAAGCTGTTTGCATACAAATCATTTGGCAATGTTGCGAAATGTTGTGAGGTACCAAAAAAAAAATAAGTAGCATGTGATTTATTGAGGAACTTTAATGTTTTGTATCGACTGTACTTAAATGTTGTCGTTATCTCATAATGACCATTAAGTTTAAAGTTTCTCGACTGGATTGTAGAATATTATATACAAAGTTGTCATGCATTTATTTCTTCCTAGTCTCATCTTAAGTCTCCCTCTTAGATATTTAGTTAGATATTTTTGATTAACCGATATTAAATAGAATCGGTTATCGTTTATAATCATGTCTCGGTCAATCTCTTGCTTCATCTCTCTGCTATCTCTGCTCGAAAAGCTAAGCTATGCTTTATTTCCAGCTCTTGCTCTGATTATATTTAAATGCCAATCCCACCATTTGGTATTATTTTTAGCAAATTTGACTGGCTTTGAGCCCCATTTTTAAGTGTATTTCGAATCGAAGTTTATCGATTAGAACCCGACTCAAATACCATTTAATTTCGCAGTCGAGCTCAGGCCTTGTTTAGCTTAGCTCAACATTTAAGGCCATATTTATTTGCTGTGCAAGAATCTCTGAAGTGGATCACTTTCCACTCGTGTGTGGAGTGCCCCGAGCACAGCCTGGGTGGCATTTGCCAGAGCTGCAGCTCTGCAGTACTCGAAGATTAAGCACTTTACCAAGAACTGGCAATTATTGTTATGCCCAGTCGGGAGTCGGGCAGTTCAATTTTGCCGAAGGGACTCGGAATGCGCATAAAAAACTTTGCGTGGCCTCCAAATTCCAAATACCAGCTAACACCCGTTGCCACGCCCCCTTCCCCAACAACTGACAACTTTGCAACTTTGTTGAACTTTGAAATAATTCTAATGCCATTCTCTTACCATTTTCTCAATTTCGTTGCAGGTAAGCGCAGCTGGGAAGTCATTAGAAGACACCGATGGGCATGTAAGTAACAGTTAACCCACCTACACGACCTGGCAGCTAGTTCCCCCCTCTCCCTCTCTCCCCCCACTCTCTACACTCTGTCCCTCTGTTGTCGCTGTGTGGTCTGCAATTGGCATTAGGTGAGCCACTCCTGACAACTGTTGGCACTTCCGCCGCCAAATGGCATTGGCAATTGTTGTGCTTGCCAGCCTATGCTTCTACTCTACTCTAAAAATACCCCTCGTTCTCGCTACAGAGAGGTAGTTGAACCCGCACTGAACCCACACTCAACAACTGCAGCAACAACAACTGCAGCAGCAACTGGCAACTGCAGTGCGGCGTCTGTTTAACGATCGTGACCAATTTGTTGGTCAAATCAACAAATCGACGAATAAGCAAATATTTACATTATACGATCGTCGTCTGTCTGTCTGTCTGTCTGTCTGTTGCTTCGTCTTGACCTCTCCTCAACCCGCAGCGCGGCGCTTGTCAATCAACAGGCGACTCATGTGTGTCTGCGTTTAGCATATTTAATTGAGCGAATGCGAATATACACTCGAAAAAAATGTCAAGAATTTCACACAATTAAGTCACGACATAAATATCTTGGCCTTCTTAACTCTGAAATCTGAAAGAAAGCATTTTTCAAAGAAATATTGTGCTTACTTTGAGCACAATTTATGCTTATTTTAAGCATAGCAATTCTTGTTAAAGCTTATTTCTACTTAACTTAATCTTTATCTTAATTTGTATCTGATATTCGATGATGACTCACTTCAATTATATTTTGTGCCCTTTTTAAGGCATGGCAATTCTTGTGTTAGGTAAATTTTTACTTAAATCAAGATTTTTAGCTGCAACTTTGAACATATTTTGTTGCTCGTTTTAAGTATGCAATTGCTTGTAATAATTTTATTTATTTTCTTTATTCAAGACTTTCCTCTGATATTTGACGTTGATTCAGTTTGAGCATATTTTGTTTTTATTTTAAGAATGCAAATTCTTGTTATAGCTCATTTTCAACTTAATCCAAGATTCTAATGCTTATGCTTACCTGAATTAGGCAAATGTTTGTGATAGGTAATTTTTGATTAATCCAAGATTTATCTCTCATATTCCAAAGTGACTCAGCTTGAGCACATTTAATGCTTATTTTAAGTATGCAAATGCTTGAATAAGTAATTTTTTACTCGTTCCAAGACGTTTCTTTGGTAGGTACTTTTATTTAATTTAAGTTTAAGTATATTTTATACTTATTTTAATATAAAAGTTCTTGTTATAGCTGTTATAGGTTCTTAACTTAATCCAAGATATTTCATGATTTAGTTTGAGCATATTTTGTGCTTACTTTAAGTATGCAAATGCTTGTAATAAGAAGTTTCTGATTTGATCCAAGTTATTTTCTTTGCCATTTCATGATGATTCACACTTAAAGAACAGAACTGGAAAATCGGTTAGTTTTTCTCGCAGTGCATATAGCAAGCAGTTGCTGTCACAAATTGCAATAAAATTGGCGCGGGGCGCCCCACAAAACGTGACGTGTCTAGATTTGTTTATAGGCAAATTTGATTTCGCCAGACTCTGTGAATTAATTTGACATTGTCTGTCGGCCGGCTTAATTGAATTGTTAGCTAGAACTCTTGACGCTGATTTGACTGGCAGCTATGCGGCTTACTTTGGCCAAGACCAACTGCAACCGAAACCCTTTTGGCCCACTGCCAAAGTAGCTGACCCCAACAAAGAGCACTTGCCCCAAGTTTATGGCTTTCATTTTCTCGTGCTTTTGCTGTAGAACTTGCCACGAAAATGTGGGACAATGTTTATGTTCTTCTGCGCCTGCCTGCCAACAACTCTGGAACAATAACAAAACCTGAAAGACAATTTATCTGCGGTACACCAAAACTTAGCCAAGCTTTTGTAGGGCAGCGAAATAATGTGCTCTGGCCAAAATTGCATAACAAGCGCGATAAAATGTTTATAAATCTAACAAAAATAAACAATTGTTTGGCAATAGAAGGCGAATTAACTGAAACTAAGAAACGACATAAATTCAGAAACTTTTTAATAACAATTTAGGAAAAAACTATATAAAAAGTGATAAATTGCTGCTGAGTTTGAACCAGCGATTTCGCGCTTGTCAGCTCAACTTGTTGCTAGATCTTCTTATATGATATGAAATTCGTCAAAATCTTTTTAAATATTTTCAACAAGGCAGCTTATTATGTGACCCAACCAGCTGGCTTGTTGGGACTAAAAAACTTTGTAAAAATTAAAAAAAAAGGTGTTTCGGAGGTTGCATAAAAAATGGTCTCTTATTTATACAAAAATTGTCATTTTGTGTGATGCAGCGTGAATTTATTTGGACGCAACGCAATTTGCGACGGCTGTCAAATGCAGTCAAATGCGAATCCAAATGCGAAATGTCAACGCATTCCGCATGGGCGTATCGAGAGTGGGCGGCGGGCAAGAGGGCGTGGCCATTAAAATGACCATAAAATGCACACACACAGCAGCCATAACAAAAGGGCGCAGCACAACAAAATTAAAACGATGCCAAACATGTTTAACATCAGCGACAATATTTCAACAAATATTTGCGGAGCATGCACAGAAAACATGAAACAGGGCCAAATTCAATTTGAGGCCCAGAAACGAGCCGCGCTAACGGCTTTGAATTGTTTTGATTACATTTGTTTTTGGCGAAAGGGTATTTTTGTGTGGATAACACGAATTGGCCGCTTTGGCATTAACCACTTTGCAATGCAAATATTGAAATATGCACTGAAGACTCGCTTCTGCTGACGTTCGCATTCGCATTCGCAATTTAAATTTAAATTTGATTTAATGCAAACATTTGCGTAGCAGGATTAATTATTTAATTTGATATGCACCGCGCGCGGTCAGAATTTTAATTACATTTTTTGTCGATCAGCCTTTGCCGAGCTGTGATAATATTTAAGAGCACATATGCATTGTATAAATTAGTCGGACAGATAGAACTCTTCGCCCAGCTCCATTCGAAATTTTAAGCACCCATTCAATTAAATGTAAGTGAAATATGAATATAAATATGAGAATGATGTTGAATTTGATTTAGTTTATGAAGCATTTATTTTCTATGGTCTTATTTTTATCCTGAAGTTAAATATTTACAAGCAACTTTTTGTAAATGCATGAAATGAATATTTAATAACCCTCGAAATGAATTAGTTTACATTGCATTGATTTTCTATAAAGTCTTATTTTTATCCTGAAGTTAAATATTTACAAGCAACTTTAGGTAAATGCATGAAATGAATATCTAACAACCAAATGAAATACCGTTGATATGAATTAGTTTGCATTGCATTTATTTTCCATAACACCTTATTCTTATCCTGAAGTTAAATATTTACAAGCGAGTTTTTGTAAATGCATGAAATGAATATCTAACAACCATAGGAAATACCCTCGAAATAGACCACACTTGGGATTATAATTGAGCTACACATAGAAAACGTAATTACGGAACACAGCTCTTTGTTTACAGAAATGTATGAAATGCAACTCCTTTCTTTGAGGAGTATTGTTCTGCAGGGAATCTTTACACCCCAGACAAGACCTAATGAGATGTGCACACAATCTACCTGCTGGCTGACTGTCTTCGGGTTTGAGTCGGAGAGTTCCCAGTTGATTAGAGCCCATTAGAGGCGGCAACAACAATCGAAATGCAACTGCAAATGCAAAGGGGGAGCACAAGAGTCTCTCTCGAGAGTCTCTGTCGGGGAGCGGGGGCAGACCTCACAGATGCGGTTAATTGTAAGCGCATCCACAAAATACATTCGGTTAGTGCAAACACAAAGTTCAAAGTGCAGCAGGGGGCAGGGCAGGGGGAGCGGGCGGCAGGGAGGATTAACAGAGGCTGCACTTGTTTTGGGGTTTAATGCACGATAACAGAGAACGGAGGCATACTTGAGGAGGCAGACGATAAGCCGGCAGCTCAAGAAGCTAATGAAGCGTGCGGCTCTGTCGCCGTTGACATGGGACGAGAGATCCCTTCAATTGGCCATGGGAAACAGATAATTTTAAACCCTGCAAGCCCAAAAGATACAGGCTCTAAAAAGTTTTTTAATTAAATTGCAATCAGAAACAAGCTCGGAAACAAGTCACAAAATGCCACAGCAAAAGTGCGGTCCCAACTTATTTGATTTTTCGTTATTTTTGGCTTGTGTAAACTATGCAGACAGGCGCCAGCTGCACTTAATTGAAATGATAAACGGGGAGGCGGGGCGGGGGCGGGGCCGGGTTCGAGGAGCTGCCAAAAAAAAAACTGTGAAGCCAACGAACCCAAGTCAAAGCCAATTGCTCGCCTCACAGATTGTAGCAGAGAATTTCTTGAGAAATTCTCAAATTCTGTCCGTCAAGAGCCGAAGCGAAATTTAACTCGAACAGTTCTCGAATGTCGCTTTTAAAGGCCATCATCATTTATTTAAGGCATCAGCTCGGCTTTGCGAACCTGCAACGTCATCTATCACGATAAGCGTCTAAGGAAATGATGAGAAATTAAATAAAACACGAAATCAATAAATTGCAATGCCACCAGCCGGAGATGCAGCCGGAGATGGAGATGCAAATGGAGGCGGAGGCGGAGTTGGAGAAGGAACAGGGGAATGGGGACGTGAAGGGGGGCCCGGGCCCGGGAGCCTTGCTCGCAGCCTGCTGCAACCTGAAAATCTCAATAAACTGTCATTAAATATGCATATGAATATGCATGCAGCATATATATATACATATATATGGGATATGCAAGGATATATGCCACATCGAACGCGTATACGAGAGCTGGTAGATGGCAGATATGGCTGCGCTTAAAATGCAACATAAGAAATAACGCAATGGACGAAAGACAATAAATTGCATAAATTATGTTTTCGAAATGCTCGTAGTTAAAAATATTTATATAAGGGGCACTCAGATACGATAGATAAAAAAAAAATCGGAACAGTTTGAGTGCTTTAAGAAAAAATATTGTTTAATTAAAC